TGATCCTCCAGGACGGGCATGGCCCGTAATTGCTACGGGCGTTGCGCGATCTTCCTGGCGATCGCGCTGGTCTTGGACGTGGCCGGGCTGGCTTTGCTGTTGGCGGGGGGCGTGGGGAGACCTACACTCGACGGGCGCCCCTTTAAAGACTTCTTAATGCTGTCCGGGGGGCTCCTGCTCTTCCTCTCGCTGCTCTGCTGGCTGTTTTGGTATTCGGGAAACCTGCGCGGGGTGCCGGTGGAAGAACTGCCTCCCGGGACGCCCGCGAGTTCTCCCGATCCCCGCCGCCACCCCAGCTTCCTGCGCTTGGCAGCCAAGCTTTCCGAGCGCCTCTCCCAGCGCCGCCGGCCGGCGCCTGCGCCCTCCTTGCTCTCTGCCCCAGCGAAGACCCCGAAACCTGCAGCCTCCCTCCGCCCCGACGGACCCCTAGAACTCGGCCGCCTCCGCACTGGGGTGCCTGTAAACTACGGGACAAAAGAGGAGCGGCTGGTGTAAAGCATCGTCTTTGGAGACTGGAAACAGAAATCAGGTAAGCACCGCGTGTCTTCTTTCACTGCCTGGGGAGGCGCGGTTAATTTAGCCGCGCCATAGTAAAGCTCGAGCAGACTTTTCTCTGTCACAGTTGGGAGCATCTCCGCCAACTTGACAGCTCTTGGCTTGAAGTAAGGCACCTTCAGCTCCCTTTGCTGATCGCCCTTTTCCCACTCGCGGCCCAGCTCCGTTGAGCATTTGGGCCCTTCCTCTTTCAACTTCACAGGATTTAAAATGAACTCAGATTAATAGTGTGTCTTGGGCATGGACAGGTTTCTCTCCTTCCCCTTCCCCTTCCCCTTAAATGGATACAGCATGTTCTCTTTTAAAATTATTACAAGGATACAGGAGGGGAGAGGAAAGTGGAGGGGAGAGAATGAGTCAACAGGCTGCAAGGTAACAAAAGAAAGCTGTCAATGTTTATATTATGGCTTGTTTGGGTTTGATCTGGGCCATTTTGCAACTTGTCTTAACATGAACATTTCCCAGAATCTCTTTTTTTTTCTCCTTAATTAATTTTTTTTAAAAAAATTGATTTATATGCCGCCCTTCTCCGGAGACTCAGGGCGGCTTACAATGTGCTAAGCAATAGCCTTCATCCTTTTGTATATTTATACAAAGTCAGCTTATTGCCCCCACAACTGGGTCCTCAATTTACCTACCTTAGAAAGGATGGAAGGCTGAGTCAACCTTGAGCCTGGCGAGATTCGAACCTGCAGTAATTGCAGGTAATTTATTGTTAATCGATCCTTAATCGATTTATATGCCTCCCTTCTCCGGAGACTCAGGGTGGCTTACAATGCATTAAGCAATAGCCTTCATATTTTTGTATATACCTGCTTAGTAGGGCTTTCGGGCCCCCCTAAGCGGTGTTCTTTTTTATACAAAGTCAGCTTATTGCCCCCACAATCCGGGTCCTCATTTTACCTACCTCAAAAGGATGGAAGGCTGAGTCAACTTTGAGCCTGGTGAAATTTGAACTCACAGTAATTGCAGGCAGCTGGCAGCTAAGTGCTACTTAACAGCACTTCAGTCTGCTGCGCCACCAAGGGTATATCTAACGGGGGTATATCTCATCCCAAACTCCCACCAAAAGCAGTCTGAAGACATTCTTAGTTATTTTGATGTTAAAGCGTTTTCATCTTTAAATAGGCAACAGGTTGCATCTGATCAGATGGGCTTCACCTGTTATCATGGTGGGGTGAAGTCTGATGGTTCACCCCACCATGAGTGAAATCATCCCAGCATCTGTTTGCCAGATTAATTCAGGAGCCGCCCCCCCCCCCCCCCCGCATTCCCCCCCCCCCAGATCTGATCTCTGTTTTGGGCAATGGGAGAAAAACTGGTTCTTTCAAATCAAGTTCTTCCAAATCTGAGCTATATCTTTCCAACTCAGAGTCCTAGAGCAGCTGTCCAGCATTTGTGGCACAGCGCCTGCTGAAGTGAGGAGGGAAGGAGACTGTTCTCTGCTGCTCCACCAATTAATTTCACCTGTGCCTCTGTTCAGGCTACTTTTGAACCCAGATTATTCCTCTCTCCTCCCCCCTCCCCCAAATAAACCCCACCTACAATATTTCTCCTGAATGCATGCGTACAAAATAGGTGTGCAAAACAAATGGCTAAACTTATTATCTAGCCATCTGTCCAAACTTGCTTCTGCCCCATCCCTAATTAAAGAGAGGGATTACTGGATATTTTCATGCTGGTTGGTGATGTTGGTGAGTGAGAAAGAAAACAGACTAATTCGCTAATTGACTGTCCTACACATTCGTAAGTAAGGACTGCACCATTTGCCAGTATTGTGCCTATGGCAGGAAGGGGGCTTGCTAGTATGTTGGTTAACACTTCTGCTGATTCAAGACCTAATGGACAGGATTTCAGCTGAGCCATGAAGAAGAATCAGTGGGGTGATGTATGAACCCAATATTCAGTTCAAGTATAACACACACACACAGAGCTTTAACAGGATTCCTCTTCTACTTTGATTCTTTTAAGACAGAGATCTTCAAATTTGGCAGCTTTAAGACTTGTGGACTTCAACTCCCAGAATTCTCCAGCCAGCTATGCTGTTGAAGTCCACAAGTCTTAAAAGAGCCTTGGTGGTGCAGCAGACTAAAGTGCTGTTAAGTAGCACCAGCTGCCTGCAATTACTGCAAGTTCAAATCTCACCAGGCTCAAGGCTGACTCAGCCTTCCATCCTTTCGAGGTAGGTAAAATGAGGACCCGGATTGTGGGGGCAATAAGCTGACTTTGTATAAAAAAGAACACCGCTTGGGGGGGGGGCGAAAGCCCTACTAAGCAGGTATATACAAAAGTATGAAGGCTATTGCTTAACACATTGTAAGCCACCCTGAGTCTCCGGAGAAGGGCGGCATATAAATCAAACCAATAAATAAATAAATAAAGCTGCCAAGTTTGAAAACCTCTGCTTTAAGACATAATACTTCTGTGATCAAAAAGTACTACAGGTAATCCTCAATTTACCACCACAATTGAGGCCAGAATTTTTGTAGCTAAGCGAGACACTTGTTAAGTGAATTTTGCCCCATTTTACGACCTTTCTTGCCATAGTTGTTAAGTGAATCACTGCAGTTGATAAATTAGTAATGCGGTTGTTAAGTGAATCTGGCTTCCCCATTGATTTTGCTTGTCAAGAAGGTCGCAAAAGGGGATCATGTGACCTTGGGACACAGCATCGGTCCTAAGTATGAACCAGTTGCCAAGCATCTGAATTTTGATCACATGATCATGGGGATGCTACAAAGGTTGTAAGTGTGAAAAACGGTCATAAGTCACTTTTTTCAATGCTGTTGTAACTTTGAACAGTCGCTAAATGAACTGCTGTAAGTCCGGGACTGCCTGTATTCTCTTGGCTGCCCCTTGAGTCTAGCTTTAAACAATTCAAAAGGTCAGTGGTGTTCGATACAATAGGAATCTTAAATACTGTATCTTTTGGAATAACTTCTGGAGACTCTCCACACATGGATGCTCCCACACTGGAGGTTTTTAAGAAGAAATTGGAGAACCATTGATCTGAAATGGTTTCCTGCTTGATTAGGGTTGGACCAGAAGACCTCCAAGGTCCCTTTCAAATTCTATTACTCTGTTATTAATCTGGGGATCCCAATGGATTCGAAATAATGGATGGGATTGAGAGAATTCTGCTTAAAAGAATGTTGTTTTTCTGCTATAATAAACAATGTTCCGTGGTCTGCTGAGTGTGCCTTGTTCCTGCTAGCCCATGTTTTGTCTGGCACTGTACATTTTGCCCACAAGTACCATTGGCACAGCTCCCAAGGAAAGATCAGCTTCTGAGAAGTGACTGCATCTCTCATCCTGCCTAGGAAAGATTCCATTGCCTCTGGGGAGAAAAGAGCAAAGCAGAGCCCTTTCCGATGTGTGTTGCAAATCGAGGGCCTGTTTTCTTGTTCTTACCCAACATGTTTTCTGGTTCCTATACAACTCTGCTGTGCATTGCTTGTTCCCAAATTGTATGCTGATTTGGCATGGTGCAGGTCATGCTTCTTAATCAGATGTTCCCTGTAAGCAGCTGTCCTGTTAATAATCTTTAGTTTTCCAGAGTTGTCAGCCTTACTAGGCGGACAAGATAGGAAATATGGCCAGATAATTTATTTCTACATTATTATAAAACTACATTAACAGAATCTTGCAAATCTGAAAGTACAGTTCTCCCACTATCACCTTTACAGCCCAAGAATCTAGGAAAGGTCTTTTCTAACCCTGTTGCTTCACCCACTATGCAGCTGTGGGCTATGCTTCCTCTTATCTGACCATTCCTTAGACAGCATCTCTTTATCCTGTCTCCTAAGGTCATTTCCACATACCATTACAGGAAACACATTTTAGCCTCAAAATCAGTGGTGAGTTGCTACCAGTTCGCCCTGGATCGGGTGAACCAGTAGCAGTGGCAGTGGGAGGCTCTGCCCACCCACCTGGACATCTCTGCACATGCGCAGAAGCATTGTGCGCACATGCAAGCACATGTGTGCCCATTCGCGTGCCCACAAGCAAACCGGTAGCGATGGGATTTGAAACCGACTACTGCTCAAAATGTGGGGTCAGATGAAGACAGTCTTGGACCTGAACCAAAAATAAAAGAAAAATGATTTACACAAACCCATTTTGAATCTAATCCTTGATTAAGGATAAATCTGGCCTTCTGGGGAAGAACGGTGAAACTGAAGACAACTCTGCTAAAAGTGGAGCTAAAGACCGCAACAGAATGAAGAGCCTCTATTTTAAAATTGCATTGAATCTATAGATTGCCATTCTGTTATAACAACGTTCGGCATACAGGCTCTTTTGAAGGGGGGAATGCTGGACGCAGAGAATGCAGAAATCCCTAATCAATAACCTTTATTGAAATTTTGGAGTAGGACATACTATTCCCCTTTTTTCTTTCTTTCTTATATTTGTTCTTCACACAGTGATGAAATAAAAGGTCCAGGCCTGAATTAGTCATGTCTATGTAACATGCACACATACAGAGAGAGATAATGTTGTATTGTTAGGTTCCACCCCAGAGATAGGGCATAAGGTGTTTCGTAGGAGAGTCTATTTAGTTACTGGAGTTTGCTGGGCACAGCTTTGGGTGGCCTCCTTTTTTTCCTCCCCACCCTTTTTTTGCTCCCTTACTACAAGAAAATTAAAGGCAGAAATTAAAGGTTTCTCTAAAGTTTCACAGAGCGAGGGATGTATTCCCTCTTCTGTGTACTTTATACATTCTCACGAATGAAGGCAAATATATATGACCCATATATATATGTTGCAAGATCCAATCTGGGTCAATCACCAGGACTAGAAATTTACTGTTGCAAACTTTTGGATTCATGCTGGAGCCCATCTTCAGGGAACTTCTCTTAACTTCTCTCAAAGAGATGTTCTCTGAAGATGGGCTCCAGCACAAGTCTGAAAGCTCAGAAGATTAAACCTCTAGTCTCGGTGACCGACACAGGTTGGATTTTTACACATTCTTTC